AAGGAAGGTCGCCGTAGTGACCGACGACTGCTCCCCAATGCCATACAATTTTAATTGCACAATGGCATTTTCTTTTGTTTTCCAGCTACAATTTTCAAATGAATTCATTGCCTTTCTTCTTCTTCTTTGGCTCGAGTGCCGGCGCTTTTGTTGTGCCTGGTCTAATGCCGCAAGGACTTGAATGCTGCGACTGCGACTGCGACGACTAGGAGCTATTTAATTGAAAATTGCCTCCGTTTGCCAAGTAGGCAAGTTGAGTTTGCTAATAAAATGTTTAACTTTGATTTAGTTTGGGGATTTGAAGCGTATGAGCTTTAATGCACCTTAGTTTACCCAACAGAAGCAAAATTCAGCTGCTGGATGTGAATATGGTTGTAACAACTACTGGCCAACTAATTCCAGCGTACACTTAAACAACAAATGTGGGTAAGACGCTAAGTGGTTGAACAAATGCGCCAAATAGTAATAAGCTTATATCCTAAATAAATATGTACACTCATAAAAATACACACGTACATTTAAATATTTTCACTATCGATTTTCACCACGGTATGTTTTAGTAAATATAAAATGTGCACACTTTAATTTCGAGTTAAATATTAAATTTAAAGTGTGAAGATCTTTAATAACTAGTGATGATGTGGACTTGGGTTTAACTCATGTCAAAGATAACTTTTTTATAATCGCTAAATACTTATATTTCCCACTTTTTAAACTACGTTTCTATACCATTATACTACAAGAGTATAATAGTATTAATTGTATTTAATAATTATATTTAGTAAATATAAATGATTTACATTCATTTTAGAGAACAACTTTATTAGAAAGTAATTTGTGAATCTCTTTTGTTATTATAAATATTGACGTTTTCCGCTACATATTAATATTGGTATTATATTATTTTTATAGCTCATTGAATACACTTACTTGACCCAAATTGAACGACTATATACATATGTCATATACATATGTATGGAATCTAGTAAATTTAACTATCTATTTGAAGTTGGATCACCATTAAATTAAGAATTACACCTTTGATGGTTTAAGATTTACGTTTCGTTTTGCATATTATTCATATTAAAATCAGTATGTTTTTAGTTAAATTTACGTTGCTTGATTTAGATACGAAATATTCTAGCATTGAATTGAATATGAAAATATTCATTTTTACTATGCAATTTGTTTTGAGTGAAGCTAGATAATTAAAAAAGTACCTCCCATAACACCTTCTTCAAAAATTTGCACAAACATAAGCAGAAAAAAAGGTTTAACAAAGTTAACTAAATATATATATATATTTTTTTTATAAATGTAAAACTTTAATTATGCTGTTATTATTTACACAACAACTTAAACTAAACTTATAGAAAAATACAAATACAGCTTAAACTAGGAGTTTAGTATTATTTAATTATTTATACTTTATATAAATCTATTGGCACGATCAGCGGGGTGTGACCTCTTCAGCCTCCTTCTTACTAATCTTCTTCCTTTTCTTCGCCGTTTCAGCAGGCGTCTTGCTAATACATTTTCGTGGATTCTCAAGCGCTCCTTGTATTGAGTAGCCGGCTTATTTAGCAAGTCACCAACTTTCTGCACCCCTAGATCCTATTCTATATGTGCCGTTTTCATACACCAAGGAGCACCTGTTAGTAGGCTAGGGGTTTTCGTTTACAGGATCCGGACTTTCTGCAGGTGTGATTTAACAGCGATTCCATAAACTTGCAAGCCATACTGCCAAGAGGGAGCGATGCAGGACTGATAAACAGTGACTTTGTTTCTCAGTGATAGTTTTTTACCCCTGACACTAGATTCCTCTCTATCAAGCACCACCGTGAAGGTCGTGTTTGCGAGGTAGTTCCTTAGTATCAAGAAAAGTTAAGGGTCAAGTACGCCACCAGAGGGTACTCCTTAGCCTCAAATCCCTCAAGAATGAAATTTACTACCCTATTTAATTGTTCTGGCGTTCCTTGGGATTTTCGGCACCCAAATTGAAAGGGAGGGATTTTGTTTGTCACTTCTTTTAAGGACAACAGTCGCGTCAGCAGACATGGGCATTATGTAAAGCAAAATGTTAGCCTAACAATTCAAAAGGAGAAAAGTCCTATCAAAAAGTTAGCCATTACGCAAGCATTTCTTAAACAAAGCTTAAAATCTATCATAGACAAAAAGTCAATAAGTATAGAAAATGTTGTCCATCCCTTAATGGTGACAACACTGGAAAGCGGTTACTAATGGAAACCACATTTTTTAGTTGTTTATACGAACACAACCAAAAAGGGGACATTATAAACAAACAAACCTAGATAGGGGTGCAAGTAGCCCTTTACATTTTAGATCTGACATCAAGCTTATTAACATAAATGAATAAATCGACATGACATTCAAAATATGAATATAGTGTTTTCAAGCTTTTATTTCTTTGGCTGTTATTGGTACTTTAAGCTTTATGTATCCACAAATTTGAAAAGAAGGCATGCAGCTATTTTCATTTATGTCTCACTCTCACTCCCGCCACATCTCTTGGCTACAATGTCCTTAATGACCAGTTCTTAACTTTGTATAATCCCTCAACAAATCTTCCCTAATGTGGCAAACGTTGCGTATGCGCATCATAAACTTCTCTTCTGTTGTATTGTGAAGCAGAGAGCCCATTCAAAATAACAGGCCACAAAAATTAAACACCAGCAACCCAAACGGGCATGGCATAGCCACTGACTTCGCCTAATGCCCAATAAACACATACAAATGTACGTTTGCATATACAAGTACACCCACACACACGCATTTATCTGACCCTGAGACATAAAAACCTGCGCCGTCGATAACATTTTATAACTCAACAAAGTGCTATAACAAAGTGAAACGGCCAGTCCCAAAAATGGCCTCAGCCTCCTTGAGCCGCCGATGTAGGACATGAATGAGAAACGGTAGTCGTTTCGCCTGTTTTTACTAATGAATTAAATCCACAGCTAATAAAAGTAAAGCATAACAAAATTTTATTAAAGCAGGCGACGCCACGACTGATAACAAAGTCCGCCACCGACCCAGCAAGTTAATGAAACATAAAAATCTTAATGCCAAACTACCGACAAACCGACAAGCAAACAAACAAACAAATGACGTAAAAATAAACTTGAAATAATTTTATGTTTTGAGATATATAGTACATATATACATTTATATATTTTAAGGCACATAAATAAAATTTGCTATGCAAATGTGGTGGCAAACAAAACAGCAGTAGCGAAAACCTCCCAACCTCATAATTTAATTGATGGCCCGGCCTGGCCTGGGCTGGCAAGACCAAACCAACCGAGGGCTCAGAACAGAAAAGAGCTCACCCACGTCAAAGCTCGAAAAAGGACCGGAGGGAGGAGCAGCAACTAACAGCGAAACCAAAACAAAACAACAACCAAAAAGCAAAAAGTGTTAATGAACAAAATAATGAGTTCCAGTGCCAGTTTGTGGCACAGAACATTTTATGACACCAACAGCAAAACGCTACGGGAAAACTCGACGGCAAACTCGTGCGAACTTGGACAAGTCACACAATCAGACAAACAACCAGCTTCACCAAAATGCCAATTCCAACCTACACTCACTAGTTACTGCATTAGGTTTTTAGGAACTAGTTCTCTACTGACAACAAACTTTAACTTGTTATTCGTGATGCAACACAAACTATTAATATTTTCTTTGATATCGAAATGTAAATTTAGTTCCTGACAGTCGAGAGTCAATGTTTAACTCTGTAGTTCATGAGGGGAACTTTTGGACAAGCTAATAAATTTAATTTAAGTTACAAACATCAGAAAATTTAAAATACTACCCAAAAAGTGGTACCTTGGGACTACATTAGAGTTTATGGACAAATTAGAAGCTGGTTCTACAGCTTAGACTACTTTTATTTTTAGCGGCTTTTGATTACCAATGGATTACCATCTCAGTTGCAGATGTCAGTTGTCAGATGTTTACCAAACATCAGCCACATTTCCTATACATACATATGTGTCACAATATATTTATTTATTAACCATAGCCTTGCCCCTTCGGATGAACTAACTCAGTAAGAAAGTGTAGCTAAAAATCCAAAATTGTGACTACTTGTACTTCCAGTGCAGTGGACTAATTTCGAACTAGTTCGGATAATTGCAGGGACCCTGCAAATACGAGTATAAATACATACATACATACATGCAAACAGTCCAACAGTCACACAGTCGCCCAATCGCCACATGAAGCAATAAATAATCACCAAAGTTTCGTTGAATCGAATTATCACCCCCTGAGGTGTAGTTCCGTAATGAATTTGTTTTGGGGTTTTCTTCTACGGCTTTTAGTTTCATTAGGTTTTGCTTTGGGTGAATGTGAGGGTAGCACGCCGACCCACCCACCCCCCTCTCTCACTCTTTCTCTCTCTCTCTCTCACTGTCACCCTAACCATCTGCTATGCGCTGCGGTTCTACATAGAATGTTCATGTCCAAGTCCTGACCCAGCGAAAGAGTCGAGTTTTTGATTCAGTTTACTGTTTGTTTGCTTGTTTGTTGTTGGTTGGTTGCTTGGTTTGTGAGGGTGTGTGTGTGTGTGTGTGTGTGTTTGTGTCTGGCCTGTCTGCTTGTTTGTTTGTTGTTAGTTGGGAAACGTACACGCTCTGGTTTTGTTTTTCTGGCGTGTGCAACTGTAAAGCTGCGGGTGCATTCATTCACTTGATTCATTTGATTCGGGCCCCAAACAGTTGCGCTCACTCACTCTCACTCGCATTTATTTGTTTTTCGGTTTGATTGCGGCTTGCTTTCGTGTATATGTGTGTGTGTGTGTGTGTGTGCACCAATTGGTTGTTATCTTGGATGTTACTGAGCTGGTTTTTGTTGCCAATAGTAACGGCCGGGGCAGCAGCAGCTAAATTTAATTTCAATTAAAATTAGAAGCGAAATTTACATTGTCAATTGTCAGCTGTAATACATTTTACTTAAATATATACACACGAATCTTATTCTGCATTTGAATTTATTCTGACTATATTGAATTTCATTTGTTGCAATTAATGTTTACAAGTATATTAATATTTGTCATTATATATTAACTACTCCGTCAACTCCAACTTGAATAAGCGCAATGTTCCAATTGGTGTGGAAAAACAGCAAATAAATGGAATTGTCAGCAAAAAATTTAACTGCACGCGTGTTTGACCTTTTATTGGAAATTCTTCTTCTGTCAGTTCCTTATAAGATGCTGTGAATGAGGAAGAGTTATTATCAGTTCCAATAAGAATTAAATACGAATCAACGTTACTCACCACGTATCTGAGATAAGGTAAGAGCGCGCTCCGGCGACGTGCATTGTGCATTCATAAATATTTGCAGCACATCGCTTTGAATGTTCGGATGGCGCTGCCGTACTTTATAATAATAATCATCTAGTGTAGCCATAATATACTATAATATTTGTTTGTTACACAATATATAAAAATATTTTAAGAAATAGTTAACTGATGTATGCGTCCGCACACTTCGATGTCTGTACAAATAGTGCCTAAAAATAGAAAATTGTTTACATTTTGCCGGAGGGTGGATGGAACGTGGCACGGAAAACCAGTTTAAGGTGCACCAGCAGCCGATATAAATGTTTTGTTGCTACCGCATGCACTCTCGCTCTCTCTCTCTCTCTCTCTCTCTCTCTCTCTCCCTCTCTCTCTGAAACCAACACAATATTTCCAATTGCAGTGATGAGTCAGTGACTTCCAAAATAAATGAAGTGTGGTGGTGGATTTTGTTTTTAATTTCCCTCGCTTGTGTACATACATAGATACGATCTTCAAACACATACACATTTGGTGGTACTTTTCTTTTCGATGTTTAGCCTCGACACACACCTTAGCGGAGATCTTCACCCGTGAACAAACTAACTGCAACTGTTATACTATAGGTGTATATCTGAAAGGAACTGTGACAGTGCCAAATATTTTTTAAATATTATTTTCTGTACTTTTTAATGGCCCCCTCCCCCCACTTATACAGCTCAAGCAGCAGCCATAAAAAACTTTGCCACACTTTTTGTTGTTACTTGTTTTTATTTATTTTCATTTTGTTGTGCCTGGGCTAGCAAAGAAAACATGGGAAATGGCTTCACACGAAAAGTTTTTCTTATTTTCACACTTGTGGCAAACGAAGTAGGAAAATAATTACAAACTTCAGGCAAAGTCGACGCCAACGACAACAATAACAACAGCAACAAGGATGCCAACGAAAAAAGTATTAAATTCAAATTATTTACAGGATTTTTTAATGGGAACACAACAAAACGCAGACCAAGTCTTACCAATGTGGCAAGGGGGTGATGAGGGGGAGGGCGAGATCGGCTGAAATAAATAAAACAACTTGACAAAGTCATTTTAATTTAAGTTGTGCAACATTTCAACACTTTGGTAAATAAATTTCACAGCCCGACTCGGCACGGCTCGAGGCAATTTAGCTGTGAAGCACTCGTTGTGGTTCTTAACGGTGTGCTGGGTCTCTGCAGAGGGGGAGGGGCCTGGTAGGCTGTGTCAAGCCATAGACAAAAAGTAGCAATTCCATTTCCACATTGCGGCCGCCATTTTGTGCAGTGCAGTGAAAAATGTTGCGCTAAATTAAGTGTTGCCCACATTTAGGCGTCGCTCAACAGCCATTCCTCCATTGTTGTTATTGTTTTTAATTTAATTGCTTTCTGCGTACACCGCTCTCGCAACGAGCACACCCAAAATTTTATGCATTCAAATGCTTGCTTAAAGCCTTAACGCACATATCATTATGTCAAGCGGCATGAAGTGCAACTGCATAACTTATTTAGCCCACTTGAAAAACTGAAAATCCATGCTGGGCCCACATCAGTAGCTGAAGCTCATTAAAACACATTTGCAGCTAACCAAATGCCTAAAATGTTAAAAAAAAAACAACAAAGAGCAGAAAATTCATGAAAAGTGCAAGCGTTGCCAACTCTGGCTGAGAACTTTGTACAAATGTACGAGGGCTGAACGATATGTACATATAGTATAAGTATGTGAGTTAAATTGCTTTCTTTGTCATTTATTTAATTTAAGCAACAATAAGCGCAGAAAAAACAAAAACAAAAAACAGCACGGCCTTTACTTTGCAACCACTTTGCTAAAAATACAGAACTGTTTTGACCTGTTTTAAAACGGAACAGAATAACAACTGCTTGTGCTAAATAATGATTGGATTGTAATGAATCCAACTTTCGCGAGAATCCCAGATATAGTCTTTGGAGTTTTAATTTTAATATTTCTGCTTCTATGCTACTCTGAAATTATTCTACCATCAGCCTGAAATTATTATTAAAACTAGTGCAAGAACCTATCCCTTCCACAACAAGAAGCGTATGAGCTGTACATTAGATAAATATATAAGAACTATTTTTGACTATATATACCAGGCGACAAACATATCTGTGGCTGCAATTGTATTTTCCAGCATTTTAAACAATTTACCAAATGAATTTATGTTAGGCGTTCTTTAATAACCAAGCACGTTCGTCATATTTTTAAGCTACTTATATCTTGACAAATCTTTTTTATTTTTAAATGAATTATTATCGGCCTGCAGTTTGTCTGTTTTATTAAAAGAAACCACACTTTCATATTTTAATACTGCACGTATTTCATTAGTAATGTTAAATCATGATTCTGCGATAACTCGAGCCAGAGTCTACTTTGAAACAAACTCACATTGTGGGATTCCTGCAACCTCGTTGAACTATGCCAGTCCCGCACATTTATTGACGTCAGACATCTTTCATATTATTTAATTTTCCACTTTATTGTTCCTTTATTTCTTGATTGCAGGCTGATTGGCTGCTTAAGGATGATGGCTTTTTTCTAACCAGCAATTTTTAGTCATGTTTTGAAAATGAAAAATATCGAAATTGAAAAATATTGTAATTTTTAAGCTCCTTTCGATTTTCATTTTAAAGTAAATATCTGCAGCGTGTAGCTTAGGAAAATATAGGACAAGTCCAGAAAACAAGATATCATATAAATATTGTATATAAATCACATTTATTTATTTATCGTATTTATTGTACAGCCCTTGGCACCATGAGTCTATAGTCGCCCTTATGCATACGTAGATGCACATGTCTATGCGTTGTATCTCACGTTGTCGTGCTGGCGCATTGTGAAAAATATGCTTCCTTTTTTTTTTTTTTTTTTTTTTTTTGAATGAAAGATTGCAACGGGTGAGTACAAAAATAAAATTTGCAACGGAAGTTATTTCACGCTGAGCGCTTGGCGGGGCAAAGGGCGGGGTGTAAGCCGCTGACTGGTGCGTGGAAACTAACTAACGAAGTAAAGAGCATTGAAGTCGGGAATTAAGCAGCGGAACGTGCTGCCACAGCGTATATAAAGTGTTGAATATAACTATATATGTGTGTATGTGTGTGTGATTACGACGTAATTGGTTTCAAGTTGCCGCAGGATAAAATAACACACTTATACGCACACACACACACAGACAGCGCTTTCAGAGAAATAGATACAAAGAAACAACAACAAAAATAGCAGCAAAAACATTGCAACAAGTTTAATTAACATAAAATATGCAGAAATTTCATTTTAAATCGAATTACAAACTTGGCGTGTGCATGGGAGTGTGTGGATGTGGGTGTGGGTGTGGGTGTGGGTGCGTGAGCATTGCATAACAATGCAATTTATTATAGCATACTTTCCAGAGCGTGTACAGGGCGAACCACACACAATCAGAATACATTTTACAAGCATTTCATAATTCCAGTTTTATTATTTTTTTATATTTTGTAATAATTACAGACGCGCCCAAACGGGCGGAGGCGTCGAGTTGTTCTGAATACGCCCCCTAGCGTGTGCATTTAACAACATGAGGCGCCATCAACGGCTCCAACAACAGCAAACACAGCAACAACAACAGCGAAACAGCGACTCCGCGACCGTACACTCATATATTAATTCCGATCCATTTGTGCTCTTGATTTACGCCCATCATAAATATCGTGATAAATGGAGCTGTTGAAGATTTGCCATGGCCATTTGTAGAGTACACACACACACACACACACACACACACACCCTGATGATTAAATAGACATGCTTTATGTCTCATGTCGGAATATACATGTCTGAATATGCATATATATGTCTCTATATATCTGAGATGAAACAATGCGCAATGGATAACATATACTCGTATTTGTAAACGCACTTGACGTAAGCATTTGACAACATTTCACACATTTCAATTTAAACTCCACTTGATTGCTACTGCTTGCTTATTAATTAGAAACTGATTCGCTTCCATGAACAAAAAGTTGCCCTAATATTCATTAATGCATGAATTTGTGTGTCTTGCCAAATGCTGCTCCTTTCTGATTATCCAAGCAAACTCTAATTGAGTGCACAACCATAACGCACCGCATATCAACACCTGTCTGCTTCAGTCTCTCCACACCGCCACACACTTCGACAGATTCAGACTAGAAAATGTGGTTTTATGTTTAACCCAAAAAGTGGGTGAACTCTTAGCATACCACAAATATGGATTTCAGTACAATTGGCTTACTGATCCAAATAATTGAAGTAAGGAATGGCGGAATGTTTTTTCATCTTTAGATTTGTACTTAAATAAGACTGAACTCCTAGTTTAAGCTGTATTTGTATATTTCTATAAGTTTAATTAAAGTTGTTGTAAATAATAACAGTAAAATTAAAGTTTTATCAAAAAAAAAAAAAAAAAAAAAAAAAAATTAGATTTGTACTTGCGGCACACAATCAAGATAAGACTAAAAGAAATTTTTGTAGGCCGCTTGATTACAAGCGAACAAGCTCTTTTCAACTGTATTAGAACAAATCAAAAAAACCATATTTCATTAACAACTTTCTTTGCTTTATCCTAAAACATAAATACATATCTACTTTTTAGGAAAAATATGTCGGTGCTATGGAAATTTTGTTTAATTTATTGTATTTTTCATAGTTTTAAAGCAACTTTGTTTAATTATAGTAAGTAGTTTTATAATTTCCATTGGTACCAACGAATGTAAATGGTAAAAAATGTATTTTCAGATTAGGTAGGTTGTTTTAAAATAAGGACATTAAAAACACAATTATATTTATATTCTTATATACTTTATATACTTCAATATCATAAACCTTTGAAGAATTTTCGCGATACTTATAATTGAGTGACGCAAATCCAGAGCCCTATCCATATGTGGCTAGTATAGTACTAATTTTTATCGAAATTTGTTGGAAATAATATGTTACCGTTTGATTAAGTTAGCTAGATTTTTAGTCGACATTATTAATATTCAACCAATAAATAATTAGCTGAAATATTATTGTTCCCTTCAAATTCAGAATAAATTCCTCTCTTTCAAATTCTAAACAAATTCCTATTCAAGTTAACAGCACCG